CCCTCTGTCTCCCTCTCCCTCTCTCTCTGATTATGTCTCTCAGGCAGCCATCGTAGAGAACATCCGTCTGTACACGGACAAGTACGACGAGGAATTCGACCCGCACCTCAAGTCCTTCACGCAGGGGGTGTGGGGGTTGCTCATGAAGGTATCTTACGTTGCCGCTGGCTGCATCACCCCTTTGCTCGTGTGTTTGTGTGATCGATGACGGGGAGCGGAGGAGGGCGTGGTGAACGTGTGGATGCTCACGACCATTTTGTTTTTAGCGGTCATCGAACAGTATGACCCAGCTTGTTGGTGTGCGTCCTGTTCATGATAGTTTGTTTTCGGGTCATCGTCTATCCCACCCACAAAACGTTCGTTGCACACATTGCCATGAGTCTCCCCGCATCTTTTCTGGGCCCGGACAGCCGAGACGTTTACTTTAATGAGCGAATATATCAATCGGGATTGGACTAGCACAAGACACAAGTTCCCTTTAGAAGGCCCTTTTCTTTGTTGTTGATGCCACCGCCCAGGATAAAAGTACGTTTGGCTGTCAAGGGACGCTCGGCAATCCTTTCCCTCGCCAACAACTTGAAGCAATCAAACCTTGTGCGCCGAAACCCTGAGCAACAAGGCGCCTTTCTAGGCGCCGGTTCGGTAATTCCGTTTGTTTTGTTGTGCAACCACAAACCCACGGCGCGCCCCATGTGTAAACCATCGTTTCGTTTTATGTCGTGATGTATGAACAAACACCAACCGTCTCGCGGTATCGTGTGGTATCGTGAATCGTTGTGAAGGTTTCTGCCGGCAAGCACCACGATATCGTCGCCACGACCTGCATCAAGTTCCTGACGCTGGTGGTGGGCAAGCAGATCCACAAGGACCTGTTCGGGTCGGAGGCGACGCTGACGGAGATAATTCAGAAGATCGCCATCCCCAACATCACCATGCGGGCCGCGGACGAGGAGCTGTTCGAGGTACGTACGTATTGGCTGTGTCGGTGCCTACCGCATATTGTCCTTGCTTTAAAAAAAATCCTGGCATAGGTGGTTCCATGATTTGTTGCAAGTTTTCATCCATCCGGTCGAATCGTATAGTCTTGAAATGTACGACGAAGGATGTGTGTTTTGAGGAGCTAGTTGGTGGGTTTGACGTTGCAGTGCGTGCTTTCAGACACGTACCCTAGTGTCAGCTGCGTGTATATTTTTAAAACGCGAAGCCCGTTGGTTCATGCGGTACAGTGTAGTATGCGCGTCTCTGAGGCATTGCGTAGCTGCAAGTGTTTTTGTAGCGCTGATAAGAGGCTCCGTGTTGGAGTGCTGTGAAAACATCTTGAAATGTCATTGAGAAGGACTCTATCAGACACCAACATCCGAGAGTGTTGTACCGTGGTAGTACCGTAGAGGGTCCGTTTTTTGTCTTTTTTATTTCTGCTCTGTCTTTCAACTCAACTTGGCGCCGTGAGCCTTTTCGCCTGATGCTTCAACGGCTCATTCGCTCTATCTACGATTAGAGGGCAAGGGAATATTGACCCATGGAAATCCCAAAACTTTCCTTCTTAGGGTTAAATGCCATGTATCGTCTTAAAATAGCACAGGATTTCTCCCGCCACTGACTGCGAGTACTTGGAACACATGCCGTCCATCTGGGTATTATTCTCTAGCATTGTGAAAGTGGGGATGCGGAGATATTGCCGGCTCTCGCACTAACAGGACAATGTATCGGGGGCACAGTGGCGTACTCATGTTTCTCATGCTTGGCGGTTAAACCATTCGCCACGCGTTCTCGAGAGCGCGGGGCATGGGTTACCCTCCTGCTCTACAGGTCGACGGTCTTGTGCATGGAACTACAGTACAGTAACCCCCACGCGTCCACGGTTGTTGTTGTTTTTGTCGTTGCGGCCTTCCGCGTCAGTTCAACCCGGACGACTACATCTCCGGAGACATGGGCGGCGGAGACAATGAGACTAGGAGGAGAGGCGCGTGCGACCTCCTGAGGAGCATGTGCAAGCACTACGAGGAGCCCACCACTCGCATCTGCTCGGTCTTCGTGACGGGCATGTACCAGGAGTACAGCGTCAACCGAGAGGCCAACTGGCGGTCCAAGGATGCCGCGGTACGTTTCTACCTCCGCCCCCGCCCCCTCTCTCTCACTCTCTCTCTCTCTGGCTCTCTCTCTCTCGCTCTCTCTCTCTCCCTCTCTTTCCATCCCTACATCTCTCTGTGTGTTCCTTGAATTGGCATTGAACTCGATAATTGGCTGGCCGATGAAAATACATCGTCAGTCTCAGGGCGGGTGGTAACGGATAACACTTCTGAAGGCCATGACCTAGGGCCCCGCTGGGGGGGAGGGGATTACGGGAGATGTTAGGCTGTGATGGTGTGTATGTGTGGATTGTTTGGTTCTCATCGTCCTCGCTAACCGTGCAATATCGAGAACAGCATGTGCGTGCTTCGTGTTGGGTATTTGGATTATTTCATCCGACAACTTATGTGGCACCGCGGGTTGTATTAATTTTTTTATGGCGATGTTCAGGTGGAGGTCAGAAGGAGGCGCAGACGCTGAGATGCGTACTACCCACGTTCGGGAGTCTCATGTTATTTTCTCATACGAGGAAAGCCATGCTGAAGCCAAGGTTTGGGTTGAGGTGACCATGTGACGTGAAGTAAACACAGAGGTCCAGCGTACACCCTTTGCCTTAACGGGAATAATCATTCTCCTTTCATCGATGGCGACCCCAGACGAATTTTGAAACCCGTCCCCTTTCCCCCTCCCGAACGTGTGCATGTTTTTTTGTACCGGTTCGTGCTCACTGCAGTTACAACTCGTGCTGGCGCTCTCGGTGCGCGCCCAAAGCCAAGCTGGAGGGGTTTCTAAAACCAATGCGTACATGAACGTCCTCGATGCTTTCACGACGCACGTCTTGCCCGAGATACAGGTGTGTGGTCAAGGTTGTCCTTCGATCGTTTCTTGTTTGCAGTTTTTTATTTCTTCGAACGTCAGCTTTCAGGTTCTTAGGTGGCGCGGTTGGTATGGAGTGGTCCCTCGTGAAGGGGATGCGGGTGTATTCATGTTGGTGTCGTCGTCGTAGATCTGTGGTAGATGTTATCGACGTTCCTCCAAGAATAACATCAGAAAAATCATACACCGGCTCTCGTGTAAATCACGTGGGGAAGAGCGAGAGAGAAGGTGCATGCTTCCGCTCGCATGCGATGTGTAAAGAGGCCCGAGCTACCGACGTGGTGTTCTGCGTTGGTTCCGAGCATGAGACAAAGCGTCTCCGACGAGTTATACTGGTCGACGTCATCGTCATTCGTTGCCCCTGCAATATCCCTGCTCATGAGTACCACCCCCCTCCCCACGCGCTTTTTGTGCCCGTCTTCCCCCCCCCCCCCCC